TTACAAGTTTTTGTATTTGTTTCTTTGAAATTTTGTTATAAATGGTGGTGATCAAAGACAATGAAAATTTGGATTTCGTTTGTAAATCTTTAAACGATTTCAAATTATTCTTTTAATAATGTTTTTCTTCAAAAAATTTATCACAATTTTTAATAAAAAATCCAAAATTACGAGATCGATTGGAAATAATTTGAATAACTGGTCATCAAATTCGATCAATTATAAAGAAGAATCTTTTAAAACCTCCTTACAACCAATCGAATTTGAAAATCAATTAAATTTATTTAAAATAATTTTACAAATTAAAGAGTATAAAGTTTTTATAAATCGCAAATTATTTAAAGATTATTTAATTAAAGAAAATATCATTGATGATAATTTAAATGTTAATTATTATATGGATGAAAAAAAAAGAAGGTTAAGTGCGATATTAAAATTTTTAGAATCTCATATAAGAAGTTACTTTTATATTCAGGAAATTGGATATAAATATAGTAAGATGAATGATACACAAGATTTGGATAAATGGCGAAAAGAGAGTTATGAAAATGATTTTATGGTTTGGTTTCAAGAAGTAAATGAGATTTGTGAAGAATATGGTATAAAGTATATTTGGTCATTTACAGATTTGGAACAATACGCCAAGGAATATTTGTTATATTATTAATATTTTATTTTATATTTAAAATTTTTATTTGTATAAATTTGTAGCTTTATTGATTTTTAAGTTTTTTTTTATTAGATACATGTGAAATTTTGATATTTATAAATTATTTTTTTGAAATAAACCAATCATGGCATTTTTTCTTCCAAATGAAATTATAGCAAAAATTTACAGATATTTAACATTCAAGCAACAGATCAAATCTCGTTTGATTTCAAAAATTTTTTATGAATATTTCAATTCATATTATTCAGAAAATATTCGTTATGTTTATTTTCATAGTGTTTGTTTAAAAGAAAATGAAATTGATAACATTTCTGAATATTGTATGCTATTAGTTTCTGAAACTATTGTATATTATGAACAAATTGAAAAAATTGATGATGAATTTTGTTACTTTATTAATGGTAATAAACGAGAAAAAGAAGTTTCACCTAAGGGTTATCTATATTGTAAAATTAATCATAATGAATTAATTGGTAAAGTAGAAGAAATAGGATTTTTATATCCCTTTAAAAAGAAATTTTTAGAAGATCTTTCAAAAAGAATTTGTGATCAATGTCTAGAATTTAAAGTTGGGGTAAAAA